AGAAATATATCGTGATATAAATTTTGGCCATATCGTCCAGCCTTAGGCTCACTTCAGACTCGTGACGCCAGGGTATCGTGGACAGATTTATAATGTTGTCTTGTTATCCTGGGCCTCTTTGTGGAATTTGGCTCTTTGGGCCGTTCTACAGTTGTGATGCATGTATTTTATGATTACTTTTTATTAAACAACATCCACTTCAGTTTCTTGGAGATCTTGGAAATGATGACAGTTAAAAAGCTACAGGACAGTGCACATTTTGTGGCTTTTTACTAACATGACAGTTTGCATAGGAATTAAGTGTTATTTGTGTATATATTTTTGAATCAAATGCTAATTTAATCAGTGTTAAATTAAAGCCATTATCATAACTGCTTCAAAATACATGCTGTTAACAAAATCATTGTTTAATAATTTACAGTTGCTGTACAGGGAGACTTCAGATATAAAACGGTGACTCAGTAGGTAATGTTTTCTCATTAAAATCAGATGATTTCCCATTGATTTAATAGGTACAATATGTGGGAATAGCAATATGACAGTGAGGTGGCTTCATATGTTACGATGTCATGAGCGATCCAGTTTTCAAATAAAAATAAAATAAAAATCGGTGGTGTAACCACAGTGACAACTGCCTACTGTGATGTCATGTACACACCTTTTAATAGCAAAATATTGGTTTGGTTTAAATAAAAATTTATAATAATAATAATAATAATGAATAAAAGATTGTTTTGGTTTAAACTCTGGTTTAAAATACCAGTCCAGTCCGGTCCTCATATTTGATTGGCTGAGTAACTTTCCAAAAGTATTTTCACTGTTTGTATCACATAGTTGGGATTTCTCCGACTGTTTCTGCAGATTACATCGTTACAGTAGGTGGTGAAAATAGGTTGTCTTTAAGAGTCATTGAATCATTAATTGAACCAATTCAGTCAGAAACAAACTGCTGCTACACGGATCATTTGAATCTCAGGCAGACCACAAAACCGTGGGTGTAAAGTAGGGACGTGACAACTGAGTTGAGGATCCAAATGCAGGCTTTATTTACAAACGTAGTCAGACAGGCCGGGTCAAAAACCAGCAAACAGTTAACATCCAAGGCAAGGACAAAAGAGTAATCCGAAAACAGGCAAAGGTCGAGGCAGGCAGCAAAACAATGGTAAAAAACAGATAAACAGTCCAGGATCCAAAAACCACAAAGGCAAGTCAAGGCACAGTAAAACAAGCAAATAAAACACGGGCAGGAACATGGAAACTGGAAAGCATTACAGGCTAACAATCCTCAACAATGTGTGTGTGTGTGTGTGTGTGTGTAAGTGCACCCTTTATAGTCCTTCTAATATGAGACAGCTGTGAACTGATGATGAGTGCTAGTGATGGGTTATTCTTGAACAATTCGTTCATTTTGAACGAATCTTTAATGTGACTCGGGAAGAACGAGTCGTCTCGGGGAGTGATTCGTTCAGTAGCGCATGCGCAACATCCTATAGGTTCTGTACTGGAATTAGTCAAGTAGTTCACCTGTTTCGAGTCTTCGGGTTTGAGTCGTTCGTTCATCACGTGACAGCCCCATAAATTTAAGCAATGCAGTCTGAGCCGGAAAGAGAATTGATTAGTTAATCTCTCGAGTCTTCAGGTTTGAGTCGTTCGTTCATCACGTGACAGCCCCATAAACTTAAGCAATGCAGTCAGAGCCGGAAAGAGAATTGATTAGTTAATCTCTCGAGTCTTCGGGTTTGAGTCGTTCGTTCATCACGTAACAGACCCATAAGCTTAACCTATGCCGGGCGAGTATGTTTTATTAAAAAGGTGTATACTGAGTTTGATTCTCCAATGTCATTGTTTTAGGCCTAGTTTCACAGACAGGATTTAGATTAAGCCAGGATTAAGCCGTAATTTGGACATTTAAATAGTTTTTTTAAAGGGGTCATATGACATTGCTAAAAAGAACATTATGTTGTGTATTTGGTGTAATGCAATGTGTTTATGCGGTTTAAGGTTCAAAAAACACATTATTTTTCACATAATGTACATTATTGTTTCTCCTCTATGCCCCGCCTTTCTGAAATGCATCGATTTTTACAAAGCTCATCATTCTGAAAAGCGATGTGTGCACTGATTGGCCAGCTATCCAGTGCATTGTGATTGGTCGAATACCTCATGGGTGTGATGGAAATGTTACGCCCCTTACCATACTGTGATGCCGTGTCCCGGCATGATGAGACAACACCAATAAAACCCATTACAAACGAGGCATTTGGTGCATCCAGTGGGGACATAATGATTTATTATAATGACTTATACTGTCTTTTTATGCGTTACGTTGCGTATCGCACCGCATAAACATAAAACCATGTCTGCATTTGTGATCTGAGAAACGACAAACAACAAGCGCTACTCTACACTGCTCAAAACTCGCGTTTGAGTCGTCAGTGGAAAATTCTATAATTATAAAAAATGTACTTATAGGCTGTGAGTCAGAAGCGCCATACTGTCCTTGCAAAGTTGGAACTGCCCCACTTTATAGAAACAGCCTTTGTGCACAGACGCATTGTAGACTAACGTTACTCTACAGGTTCAGGAAACAGTCCTCCATAAAATGCGCAGCACTCATCTGAATATTTGGGTTGAACTGTTTTGGAACAGTGTTGTAAATACAACTTAACCACTGATTTCTATTTGTGTCCTCTTTTGGAAGACCAAACATAAGGTTGGAAAAATACCCGCCCCCCCCCCAAAAAAAAGCCATAAACCTAGGTGTAACACTGAATTCTACAGCGAGAATAAAAGTTACGCCTTCTTTCTTTGCATGAACATTTGGGCAGTGTTATGCAAATCTTCCCACACAGTGACGTAGACATGTGGGGGGCGTGTTTAAACTAGGTGTTTTAGGAGGGCGTGGACAAGTCTCAACTTTTATAAAGACTATCTCTGGGTTTGGCAACTTTAGGGATCTTATCTATGCACGAACTGCTTATAACACTCCAAAGAGAAAGGAAAATTTTAAATTGCATCTTATGACCCCTTTAATGTACCTTAGAAAAAAAACATTATTGGTGTGCATCTTGATATAAATCAGTAGCACTGACATATTTTAAGATATGTCAGTGCAAATTGCTTTTAGTTAAGACAGCTCAAACATGCATTTTAGTCTGGGGCCTTGTCTGTGAAACCGGACATTAATGTATTAAGACACATTAAGCTAAAATGCTTTTTTTGTGTGTGTTCATGTTGTTTATATAGGTGATTTTAAGTGAAAAGCATATACATGCAGATTTTTGCAGCTGTTAATTAGGCTTTTTTTATTGTGAAAATCTCCAGCCGATCAATATCAATTTGCATTATGGAAAAGAGTATTGTTCTGAATGCAAGTGATCTCACTTGTGATCTTTTAAACCACATTAGTTTCATTAGCGCTGTGATAATTTCTCCGCATAATGCATATTGTAAACACACAGCAGCCACTGCTTATTACCTGGTGGCTTTCTTTTGCGTAAAAACTAATTTTTTTGAGTTAATTGAGAAAAATAGACTGGACTACCTATACTCTTAAAAATAAAGGTGCTTCAAAAGGTTCTTCAAGCGATGCCATAAAATAACCATTTTTGGTTCCACAAAGAACCATTCAGTCAAAGGTTCTTTAAAGAACCATCTCTTTCTTACCTTTTTATAATCTGAAGAACCTTCTTTCTCCACAAAGAACCTTTTGTGAAACAGAAAGGTTCTCCAGATGTTAAAGGTTCTTTATGGAACCATTTAGACAAAAAGGTTCTTCTATGGCATCGTGAAGCACCTTTATTTTAAGAGTGTATAACAAAGTATTTCTAATTTCTCATAATTTGGTCCTCAACAGGTCAGGTGGTTTTCAGGTCAGAGAGAGAGCAGCCGTTCATTCACGGCGCACTGGATTCAAGTAACACTCGCCCCTGGCAGCTGAAGATGCTGTTACTATGGAAACAGTTTTTGCTGCTATCAATCATGGAATATCTTGCAGGTAAAATGAATTGGTAATTCCTTCCCTCTGTGGCTCTTGTGGTGTATTCACAACTATGTCTCTATCAACTTTAACAATCTTTTCTTAGGTAGACTATAACAATGTTCTGAAACTTGAAGTTAAAAAGAGAAATCTGACTGTACATATACGACAAGTGCTCCCCAAAAAAGCATCCCCTTGTTTAATGAAGCATTATGTATGTGGTCAACCTGTCTGGTCATTTATTGTTTCGGTGTGAATCCACGGCAGACAGAAACAAATGTGTTGTTGCAGCATTTGTTGCTATCAGTCCATATCTTGATTATGAACGGAAGACAGTAATAGACCCTGACGCACAGAATCAGGCTTACAGGAACAGGACGTGTTTTGGACGTGGTGGAGGGGCTTTCAATTAAGCTGTGCAGTCATTTTGAAAATGAATTGTGTTGTGTCATAAAAGGCTTTGGAGGCTTCGATACAATGTGTCCTCCAAGGAAATTGAACTAGTATGTCACAGTTTATGGCTCCACATCCTACAGATGTGGGAGGGGAAATTATTTCTCTCAATTTGAATTCACTTGGAATATTCTGATTTATATTTGTATACCAAATCACCCTCAGAGCTTCATCTCTTAAAGGGAAAGGTCACCTAAAAATGATGCTTTCTGTCTTCTTATACTCACCCTCATGTCGATTCATATCTATGACTTTCTTTCACAAAAGCACAAAAGAAGATATTTTGAATATTTTTACTGATTGCTCTTTTCCATGAGTCCCCGCTGAGGCTTTCAAGCTTCAAACAGGATGCAAAAGCACCATAAAGTGGTCTGTACAACATGCGTGCTGTATTTCAGGTCTTCTGAAGCCGTACGATAGCTTTGAGTGAGGAACAGATTGTAATTTGAGTCATTCTTCACCTCCTGTGAGCTGTTAACAGCTGTGACGGGATCATTGAGTCTGTGAGTTGAATTCGAGGATCAGTTTGATTTGTGAATGAATCATTCAAACTGAATGAACGATTCATTTGTAAAAAATTCAACTCAAAAAATTATTTGTTTATTAGTGGTGAAAATTGGATGTTTCATCATGATATGATTGAAAACAGATTCTCTGCAAGCAATACGATATTTGACCAAAACATGCTGCGATCTGATTGTGATTTGATTCGATTTAGGGACCTGCGATTGATATATTGATATTGCAATATTATTTTAACCAAAATTTTACATGAACATTTAATTGAACTCTCTGAAAATTGCAAATCCTGTATCCCAGTTAGGACATCCATAACAAAAAAAAAACTCTAGTTATTAATTAATAGAAAAAATATTAAAATAAATAAATAAATCACACATGAGATTGTCAGTCATCTGAACAGCTCATAATTGACTTGTGCATATTAGGAAGGGGGGAAGTCGTGGCCTAATGGTTAGAGAGTCGGACTCGTAACTGTAAGGTTGCAGGTTCGAGTCTCGTACCGGCAGGGATTGTAGGTGGGGGGAGTGAATGTACAGCGCTCTCTCCCACCTTCAATACCACGACTGAGGTGCCCTTGAGCAAGGCACCGAACCCCCAACTGCTCCCCAGGCGCTGCAGCATAAATGGCTGCCCACTGTTCCAGGTGTGTGTTCACTGCTGTGTGTGTTCACTGCTGTGTGTGTGCACTTTGGATGGGTTAAATGCAGAGCACTAATTCCAAGTATGGGTCACCATACTTGGCCACATGTCACATGTCACGTCACTTATAAGAAAAGCAATGACAAAAATCAAGTAAGACCTCTGTGCTCTCTAAAATTAATGTCCCCATTAAAATGAGGTACTCCAGGTATTGAAAAAGAATATATTTATTAAAAAAAACAAAAAGGAAATTTTGAAAAATAAAGTTATTAAAAATGATCAAATATTGATGATAGGTCAGCGATAATTTGAACATTTTATAACAGTCAATCAAGTCTTCTGGAGTCTTTTATAGATGTGTGTGTAAATGTTTATGTGTTTAATTTATTCATCATATCATCATATTCAGCCTGTTCCTCAGACAAATCTATTGTAGGGGTGTGCGATAATGACAAAAAAAATGATATCTCAATATTTTGTGGAATTTTGTTGATAACGATAATTAGACAATATTTTGCTGAATGTATTATTGTGCTGATACCTTGGCATGTTTAGGACTGCCATGGACAGCTGAATCCCAAAGCTTTTGATATACTTCATATTCTGTGAAGTGGTCCGTTTGCAGCAGTAACAGAAATTCACTTTTTCAATAAGTTTTTTTTTTTTTTGCCTTTATAATGCCAATTTTTTCTAACCTAATTAAATGTATGCATCATCTTTTGTGCCAAATTTTTATATGTAATCAATAAATTCAATTCAAATAGTAAGGCACTATAGAGCTGTTCAATCAAATGAATCAGTATCAACAAAATGGCACAGAAACTGCATCTGAAGTGGCATTTAGATGCATTGTTTAATGCAGCTCAGAGGGGACAAAATGTGAAAAAACAAAAAACTAAATGTTGAATACTGATATTTGAAATGATTTTGGGGAAAAAATAATTGAAAGGTGATATATCATGAAAATCTGACTTTTCCAGGTTTTAAGTGCTATAATCAGGTCCCCGGTGCATCTACCAACCAAGGAAACGTGAAAAAGATTAACCCAGTAACTTTGGTTTGGTAAGCCTTTTTGTGCAAGCATCTGAGAAAATGAGCGTGTCTGATTTCGCTCCCTTGGTGACGTGGCAAAGGGATCTCATTATAATATTACCGCCCCTTAATCTGTAAGTTTCCACCCACGGCGTCATCATTGTGATTTTGCAAGTGACAACGATGTACTAGTTCTAATGCCATGGTGAAAGTTTGAGCAAAACATGCTAAAGTGTTCTGCCTTTAGCTGCACAGACGAGCACAGAACAATATTTAGAGTCCCAGCCTCAGAGGAGACAACAGAGCAGTGGATTTATTGATTTATTTAGGCTACTGTATGTTGCTGCTGCCACACAGATCTAAAATAAACAAGCAATTTATTTCCCAGCTGTTTACCTTCACAGACATAACCCACTGTTTTTGTAACTCGTGTGTGTTTTTAAAGTAAACTTGTGTGTGAATGAGAACTTAGTTTAGTACTCGCATGCTGTGACAGCCGCTTTCTGTCCGTGTGCTTCGGATGTGTGCGCTCAGAAAACTGTATATCAGAAGTTTAAACTCATATGGTTTAAAACGCATGATTTCAGTGCGATAAACATGAGAATCAGAACCAAAACAGATGTTTTTAGCAGGTCCGAGCTGTAATGACACAGCTCTATTCTGGAAAAGGGGGCGGGGAGCAGCAGCTCATTTGCATTTAAAGAGACAGGCCCGAAAAAGTGTGTATTTCTGCTTCCACTCAAAATAGGCATTTTCAAAATGATATAATAAATTATCTGTAGAGTATTTTGAGCTGAAATTTCACAGACACATTCTGGGGACACCAGAGACTTGTATTACATATTGTAAAAAGGGGCATAATATGTCTCCTTTAACTAGTAAGGTTTTTTACTAATGGGAGATAAACTCAATAATGTCTAAACGAACAACGTAAAAACAGCAATTATTATTACCATATTATTGTAGAAGATATATATCGCACACCCTTATACAGCATACAAGTTGTACTTTCTTTGCTTTTGTGCCCTTTTTGAAGCTCACAACCTTCAGTCCATGTTCATTGTAATTGTATTTTCTTCTTTTATCTTTTATGGAAAAAAAGAGTCATAGGACTTTTCATCTTGAGATGAAGTAATCCTTTAAAAGCAACATAACACTAAATGGAGACATTCCATTTATCTGAGAATTTCAGTCAAGTTGAGGAGAGGATAAGAAGTACTGTAGAAAGACACTGTATTGTAAAGTATAACTTCAAGGTGCACAATGTAAATGTCATATCAGAGCGCCTTAGTTCCCATTATCTAAACAAATGTCACACTTAAATGTGACGATTCCTGTGAATTTGCCACTTTGATAACATCTTAAGCAGAAATTGAGTGATGCGAGCATAGCACTTGATTAGAACCCACACACCTGGTGTGATCTCACCACATATGGTCCGTGTTTCTGCACTCTTTATGCATGCTTGTTACTGCGCAGCCTCTGTCATCTGCAGAATATTTACCCACAGACTTCTTTTTAAAAGGTCTTAAAGCGATAGTTCACTCGAAATTGAAATGCTGCCATAATTTAATCACCCTCATATTGTTCCAGACATGTATGACTTTCATCTTCAGAAAACAAAAGAAGATAATTTAATGATGGTAAACTTCAAGTTTTGGTTGACTTCCACTGTATGCACAAAATGCAGCTGTGACATTTCTCAAAATATCTTCTTTTATGTTCCATAGCAAATGATGAGAGAATTTTCATGTTCAAATTGAACTATGCCTTTAGCACCATACCAAATAGAATTTTCTTTTGTTAATGTCAAATAAGCTGAATTTAAAGGGGTCCTATTATGCTTTTTCACTTTTCAACTTTAGTTAGTCTGTAATGTTGCTGTTTGAGCATAAAAAAGATCTGCAAAGTTACAAAGTCCAATTCAAAAGGAGATATTTCATTTAACAGAAATAACTTTTCAAAAACTACAACGAACAACTCGTTTGGACTACAACGCATATTTTCCGGGATTTGTGATAATAACAAATATCGACGAATGGGATGAGACCTGGTTGAGCTGCACTAGAGAAGGCAACGAGTGTTATCACTATGTCAGAGACACGCTAGCTTTCCCAAAGCAGACGAACTTAGAGTGGTTACAATCATCCGGGTTTAAATCGCGCTCAAATTGATTTGATATTGATGCAATATTTACACTGAAGCTCGCAGCAGGCGATGATAAGGGGCATGACATTTCCCGATCAGTCACAACACACACTGGCCTAGCTAACCAATCACAACACATTTCGTGTTTCAGAAGGCGGGCCTTCATTTGATACAGGAACTATTCGAGCTTTTCATGCCAGACTGGGTAGAGAGGTGTTGTAATAATGTAAAATATGTGAAAAATAATGTGTTTTTCGAACAACCTTGTATGAGAGCCTGTTCTAGTACACCCCCAAAACAAAATCAAGACTTTGTAAAAGAGCATAATAGGACCCCTTTAAAGCTGAAGTGTGTCATTTTTGTTTTTTACTAAGCGTAACATAAAGGAATTGCAAAAATTATTAATTGCAAGCAGGTTTCTTAAAGTCTGCATGAAACGGAAATTGCAATCATCTTTTATTCTCTATTTTGATCAATATCCGATGAAACAGCATTTTGAAGATAAAAATGGGGCTTGATTTTGTCCATTGGAAATTGATTGGATCGTTGTTTTCGTCTTAATGGTGCACATGTCATCAGAGAATAGAGGAGGAGGTGAAGTCTTTAATTAAATGTTACAAAAAAAAATTATAATGATGAATACAAAGATAAATCATTTATAATAAACCCTGTAATTTTCCTTAACAATAAGGATTGTCAATCTTGAATTCATGGTGACTTTAAACCCAGCAGCCTTTGGTCAGACAAATTAGTCAGGCATTATTCCTGCCACCAAGCTCACACCATTGCTTGAGTCAGTGTCACTCTCTCCGGCTGCCTGGGATACTCAGACAAACAGATCAATGTTTTAATAGCGTCACAAAGCCATAGTGTTTACGGTTTATCTTTTGAAGGAATAAACCTACAGTATGGCTTACATATAATTGTCTCTCCTTATAAAAGAACAGGTATGATGCTATTCTTGATTGGGTAAACTATTCCATTAAGTTATAATAGCAAAAAGGATTTTAATATTGGAAAAAGGACACACTTCAGCTTAAACTGTGCATTAAAATACAAATATGTAATTGTATTCTGTTGTTTGATCTCAAGAGTGTGTGGATTATAAGTCTTTCAATGGACCGAAGTGGCGAATGGAGCCCAGTGATCTGACAGTGGGCTCACTGGAGGAAGAGGCTACGCTGACCTGTGACGCAAAGGGCATTCCTTCCCCTCAGTACAGGTCTGTTTGCATTTTTTGCTTCTATTTTTCTCGCTCTTTAATCTAGTGAGCTTCCTAATGCCTTCATAGGAACTACAAATAGTGTTTGTTTGCTGTTTTCAATATTGCTAACAATTCCATGCTCTAATAAACATAAAACTACACAACATGTTCAAATATTTTGTAGAGTATCACATTTTATTAGTTATTAGTGCACTTAAATCATGCTTGTAACACCTTAACGCTACATGTACTAAGTTTTGGGGCATTTTTCTTCGTCTCAGTAATTTGAAAGATCCTGCAACACCAATCATGCATGAGGTTATGTTTATTCATGCAGTACTCTATGATATTATTAGAATTTAATGACCAAGATGTACAGAATTCACAACTTTCACTCCCTCGCAATGGTGAGAGTTGCCCGTGACAACAAAATGATCTTTCTTTTTGGTATTTCTCAACATTCCATTCAGTTTTGTTGTATGTTCCGAATAGATATATTTAGTGTCACATTTTGACATCTGCATTATCTGATGGCATTGGTTAGGAATGTTCCTGTAATTTAATGGATTATGGATTCCACATCTCGAGGCTGTATAGTGTCTTCCTGGGCTCCATCTCAACAGAAGAGCCATAAAACTGCAATATTTATACCGGCTTCACGCTGGCAGGACTCAATGAATGCATTGACACATGCATATCAATTAAACATGTGCCACATGTTATGTGCCATGCATCATTCAATTTAAACCAAACTAGACATGCAAAGTGTACATCTTTTATTCAAAAGTCTATGCTTACTGTTTGCAGTCTCTTTCTGAAAGTCTGAAAATAGCTGATCAGAAATGCTCTTTCGCTTAGAGAATTTCTTATGCCCTTCCTGGTTTTTGAGGTCACCAGGTCGCTGTGCTGTTGGCCGCTAGTAGGCTCTTCGAAAGCAGACACCATGCAATGAGATTCCAGTGAAAAGCAATTTTTCTGTCCATACCAGACACGACACGGCTACAAGATGCAACAAAATGAATCACAGTCAGTCAGAAGAGCATGTGGGTGGGCTCTCTCTGCAAGCACACTGTCTCACACTCGCAACAAAATGGAAAATTACACAATTAAATTATTAAAAACTATTTGCAAGATATGTGGTAAATTATCCGTTGTTACTTTCATTATGGCTATTAAAGTCATGCACAATGATATCCAAACTAAAATGAAATGATTTTAATATTATATAAAATGCAATCAGCTGTCAGCCGTGATGTAGCAGAAATAGAAAGCAATCCAAAAACAGAATTTCCTGTTGCTTGTCAGATATAGCCAACTTGGCTGATTAGGATTTTTATCATGTCTTGTGACGTCACGTGTCCGGTTAGGACTTGGTGTTAATAATGTTGGTGGTCTTGAGTAAAATCTCACAAATTAAATGTATTGTCAGTAAAAAAAAAAATGAAGTAATTCTTTTTTTTTTTCCAGCTAAAATGATTGAAAGCATTTCTTTTTTCCAATAAATTAGCATTTCTCATTTATTCCTTTAAAGTACAAAAATAATTATGAATTAAACTGTTGAGGAAATGGAATCATTAAGAGGAATCAAAATCATTATATTCTTTACGACTCACATCCTTAATCTCACACGAGACAGATCACATGATCGCACGTCTTTGCTCCGATTGCTCACTACTCATTTGCATAAAGTGAAACGTCTCAGTTTTGTTGAACTGCAGCCAAGCCTTAATCACTCATGTCACCAGAAAACAGCAACTCTCATTGAAAATCATTGACCTCATCTTTTTTTCCTCGCTGCAGATTGCTGTGGATGACATATACAGCGATTTATTTGGACTTAGGCCCTGTTTACACCTGGCATTAAGTTGTGTTTTTGTCAATAGCAAGGTGACAATACTAAATACAGGTGTAATTCTAATTCTAATTCTTAAACATTATGGGATGTGCTGTTGAAGCACGCTAGCCAGACGGGATTTCAACTTCTCCAGCTGAAATCGTAAGTTTAGTTTGAAGGTTGAAAAAAATGTAAAAAGCCTACACAGGCTCATTGGAAATATGTGCCACTACATACATTTCTGCAAAACTCAAAAAAAATGTACCTATGCATACGAATCACTGCAGTTTCCAGTTGAAATTAACACTAGAGGCAGTAAATGCCAACTTTTATTTCTTTTTCACACAAATTATAATTTACAGGGCCAGCGATTCGATTAAGAAAGCCTAATTTTCACACAATTCCTTGCACAATATTATGTTATGACTTCAAAACAATTTTAACATGCTGCGAGATTAGAAAACTGATATTTTTTAATGTTAGTGTCGCATATACAACTTCATATGTATGGGTAGGTCTGGACGATATGGCCAAAATGTATATCACGATATATTTCTGAATTTCGGTGGATACAATATAATTCCGATATAGTTAATTATATATATAGTTATAGTTAATATATATAGTTATAGTTAATAACTATAGGCTAACTGTTACGGGGCTGACGAGACGTGAGACTTGCGGATCCATGTGCAAGCTTTATTTGATAAAGACAGAGACGTGGTCATACAGCAGGCCTGTAGTCCGGGGTGCTATGCAACAGTTTGTGTGGTGCGAGAGTCAATGAAAAGGAAAGTTCATGGACCGGATTCGTGACACTAACATACACTACCAGTAAAAAGTTTTTGAACAATAAGATTTTTAATGTTTTTAAAGAATTCTCTTCTGCTCACCAAGCCTGCATTTATTTGATCCAAAATACAGCAAAAACAGTAACATTTTGAAATATTTTTACTATTTAAAATAACGGTTTTCTATTTGAAAATATTTTAAAATGTAATTTCTTTCTGTGATTTCAAAGCTATATTTTTAGCATCATTACTCCAGTCACACGATCCTTCAGAAATCATTCTAATATTCTGATTTGCTGCTCAAAATAATTGATTATTATGTTGAAAACAGCTGAGTAGATTTTTTTCAGGTTTCTTTGATGAATAGAAAGTTCAGAAGAACAGCATTTATCTGAAATCAAACTCTTTTGTAACATTATAAACATTATAAATGTCTTTATCATCACTTTTGATCAATTTAAAGCATCCTTGCTAAATAAAAGTATTAATTTCTATCATTTCTTTCCAAAAAAAAAAAGAAAAAAAAGAAAGAAATCATACTGACTCCAAGCTTTTGAATGGTATAGTGTATAATGTTACAAAAGCTTTTTATTTCAGATAAATGC